TTTATTGAAGTTCAAATAGATATATCTAATTTTATTCAAGTGATTTTTGTAAAAATGTGGCCAAAAATGTGTATCTCAGAAATTATCTCAGTGCTAAAAGTTCTAAAATTTTAGAATTTTCCGAATACAGATTGGTATGTAAGTTTCAAAATCATTTTAGCTTTGGCAGAAAATATGAACATATATTTTGATTCAAGTACAAATAGAAATATGTAAATTTACTAAAAAAAACTGGTCTAACATATTTTTCCCGAGAAGGCCTCGGTGCGAAAAGTTACGGCGGGGCACGACAAGATGTTGTGTTTCTATTCTCTTCATAGGCACCGCGCCATTGTCTTGCAAAATATATGATTTATCATTTGGTCCTTCTTATTACCATCGCATCTCCATGACATAGGTGGTTCTCACGCCATGGAAAAAGGTGAGCTTTATAGGATAAGGGCGTCGCTGTCAAAAACTGTTTCACGGGTCTCCGTTGCACAAATTTGGGGTGTCGTAGATATTGCTAAGAGCAACTCTAGCAGACCCCGCATCCCGCCGGCCCGCAAAACGTGTTTGCAGTTCGTGCAAAATAGCTTTTACAGGTCGGCTCGGGCTGGCAGAGATGCAGACCTGCTCTTTGCGCTGCTGCATCCCGCATATCATCCGCCCACAAATATCAAATACAACATAATTCAACAATCGAAAATAAACTGAATTATTCCAATCAAACATAATACAATAATCATCCGCATTACAAATAATTATTCAAATAGCTGTAACAAATTTAAATAGTGCAATACAAAATTTGTCATGAATACAAATAGAAATGAATACAAAAATAAGTCACTGCCCAGCCATTTGCCAATGGTGCTCAATGAGATCTTCCTGAAGTTGAAAATGGGTGTCTGCATTTTCAATCTCCTTGTATGTCTGAAGAAAAGCTCTAATGCCGTTTGGGTCTCTTACTAGTTTGACACAGCTACCCACATTGTCGTAAAAGAATTCTAAGTTCAATCCTCTCTCATCTTCAAGAATCATATTGTGCAGGATAACACAACATGTCATTATGTTCCTCAAGGTTTTCTTATCCCAAAAACGAGCAGGACCACGGACAATGTCAAACCTAGATTGAAAAACACCGAATGCTCTTTCAATGTCTGTTCGGGCTGGCTCTTGCACCCTTGCAAATTCACTTTGTTTTTTTTGTATTGGGTTCTTTGATGCTCTCGACAAATGTGCACCAAGGAGGGTATATACCATCTGCAAGATAGTACCCCTTTGTGTATTCATGCCCATTGATAGTGTAGTTGCGAGCAGGATCGGAGCATCATCACTAGCAAGCCTAGCAAAGAAATGAGACCGTTGCAACACATTGATATCATTGAGAGTGCCCGGCATACCAAAAAAGAAATGCCAAATCCACAAATCCTCCGATGCTACGGCCTCCACCGTCTTCACAAATTTTCAGCTCAAAAGGAGGAGCCTAGGTGGTACTTGCTTTGCAAACTACCACAATGGACATAACTACAAATGTTGAAGCTCGGCTCAAAATAATGAATGGATTGAGCTAGCATTTGGTGGAGGATGGTTATTTGGGCATAGGAAAGCACTGTAGAAAATGGATACTATTTGGACATGCCAAAGTGGTACTTCCTTCACAAACTGCTACTCTGAACAAAATAGGAAAATGAATATTGTTGAGTTATTTTTGAACTAGGAAAGGAAGGTTTTTGGCAGATTTGATGAAGATATGATCCAAACAATTTATGAGAATTATTTGGGAATTTTTGGAATAACAGAAATATAGGTTGCTTCACAACCTAGGGCAAAAATTGACACATGGACATGACACATAGGCAAAACTGATGAGATGGCGCCTAGTCATCACAACTCACCACAATCTACAAGGCTATGGCCATCTATATTGGTCATTAACAACTAGAAATAAGGCAGCGGACCAGCCTTGTTTGCTTTGTGACCATTTCGTGTAAGGAAATTACGACCTTTTTGATCAAAATGGTCGCAATGGTTTAGGGTTTGGAGCCCCCCGAACAGCTTTTGACCAATTGGTCTCAAATGGTCATAGATCTATGACCAATTCTTCCAGGGTCACTGACAGAAGGTCATTAGTTGACATATTTCTTGTAGTGGTGCATCAAGAGCGCTCCCGGTAGGCTCAACGCTGGCAACGCCGCCGACATTCCCTCCAAGTGTGGCGTCAACATCCTCTACGCCATCAGCTCTTCCATCGACTGCTCTAAGATTTGCTGATCAACCAATGGTCACCATGTGTATGTTGAGGTCACACACACACACACACACACACACACACACACACGAATAAAAGCCTTCGTATTATCTCATGGAGGAGGAGGTGGCGGATGAGGAGGAGGATGAAGAGGAGCAAGTGGGGCAGGAGGAGGAGGATAAGGAGGAGGGGGAGCAGCTGTCGAAAGCAGAGCCCGTGAAGAAGGAGGCAGCGGAGCCAGAGGGGAGTAGGTGGAGGTGTGGCTGTCTGCGTGCTTCACTGTGGCGGATGCCAAGGTGGAGTACGAGGCCGCCCAAGCGATGGAGATGGTAGAACAGACCGCCGTCCATGATTCCATCTTGGACGAGGTCTATGTCGAGGCTAACCGACAGTTCATCGGAATAAAACAGGCGGCGATGGAAGCACTGTTCATCGAATTGGACGGGAAGGCGGAGGTGGAGGAGGGGACAGAGTCTTCACACGCGCAGGAGCTACCGCACTTTCCCATCTACCTAGCCCCAGGCAAGGAGACCGTCAACATCTTCGACAATAGTTCTTTTAGCTATGTATGTAGTACATCGGTTTTTATTTACATGGCTGTGCTATTTGGGTACGGAGGTACGAAATTTGAGTTTTGTGGTTGTGGCGGACGTTTTTGGTGTGCTGTCCGGTCACTGTCCGCGGACGCGTCCGCGGGTGTTTTGGGGGTCTTCTTAGTGTTGTTTGTGGTTGGAGATGCTCTAATGATGCATCCATCGACAGTAGTAAATCACCATGAGACATGCTGCTACATTGACGGATGAGGCACTTACCATTAAAAAAAAGCCGAGTGGACTATGGCACTGAATACTTGCACAGAGGCAAATTAACGTCTATTCACTCCAGGTGAACCAAGGGGACATTGACATTTGGTGCTGAATTACAAGTCTCCCAAGTGCACATTTTTGCTTTGTGGTAATTTAGAATGTGTATTTGTAAAACAACTGAAAATATATTAACTAAGAATATATTTATACATGCATTTAGATCGAATGTCGTCCGGTTTCGTACCAACTTAGTTCCATTGATATATTACTAGAGTTAACGTGGAACGATCAATTTCGTTTCTGAAGGTGGTGCACACACGAAAAAGACTGGCAAGCGTATCTTGTGAGGAAACAAGAGATAGTGTTCCTTTGTTTTCTCTTAGAACAAGACTGGCAATGGCATTCCCCACAAATAAATTGTAACAACAACAACAACAACAACAACAACAATAATGACTATAATAGTAACGACGACCAAGAAGATGATGGACATCAAGGTCTTAACATGAACATGTGTCCTTTTGTGTTTTTGAGTTGCTAGAATCGTGGGATCACCTTCTAAGAAAACATGCATGATGTACAAATAAAAATTCGGAATGTAGCTCTGAATATGGTACCAATGAATGTTAAGCTGTGATATTGGGACCAAGTAAGGCAAGGTAGATGATCCCCAGGCATGCATGACCACATGCACAACTAGATTGATATAGTTCATTTGTCGAGCTCATCATAATTAATGCACTCAACTACCGAAATCACTGATGAAGGAGTACTCTTTGTAAATGTTACTCACACCTTCGCATGGTGCAACATGTGTTGAACTGCATGTGCGCCACTTGTCGCAACCTGGGATTTTTCCTTTTTCGTAGATTTTTTATTCAAAATGTTTTATCTCTCAACCATGTGTCCAAATCCTGAACCATTTCACCGTTGGATTCCTCGCATCGAGATCTTCAAAACTAGATCGTATGTTGATAGGTTTCGACGAACTTTTTTTCACGAAAAAATCGGACGAAAAAACCCCGAACCGAGAGCACGGTTTTCCCTTTCCAAGAGCATGACCAAGCTTCTCGCGGAAGCAAATCCGCACCTCCACGAGAACTAAATTAGTGCCTCTCGTGGAAGGAAAAGAACATATTTTGTCTTTTTTGAGATGCATGGTCGTGCTTGTCGTGAAAGCAAATCCGTGCCTCCACGAGAAGTAAATTAGTGCCTCTCATGGTAAAAAAATCCATGATTTTTCCCTCTCACATAACAAATTCATGACTCCACAAGAAGTAAATCAGTACCTCTTGTGGATGGAAAAAACATTTTTTTTCCCTTTTTCGAGATGCACGGCTGTGCTTCTATTGGAAGCAAATCTGGTTTCCGCTTGCAAGCTGAGCTATTGGATTCGGTAGGCCAGAGCGTATTTTGGGTAAAAATGATGACGTACGTATATGCACAGTTCAATGGTCGTGCTCACCATCATAGATGCACTCAACTACTCCATGGTCGGCCACTATATGACTGCGTACATGTCTTAGTCTCATAATTAATCTGCTGCGCTAATCAACCACATTCCACCGCTAGAACGCCTGGATGTAGTGCTTGGTCCATCCATCGGCCCAACCAAAAGGTAACAACCAATCATCTCCTAAATGCATTAACACCCATAAATCAATTCCAACATCCAACAACCTAAATTCATGCATTTGCTGGTATCAATTGAATTGGCACACGTAGACACAATACTCGACACCAAGAAGCCCTATTTAAGCCCATGCATCCCCACGAAACTCCTCACCATTACAGTCACTTAGCAAATCTAGCTATTTCATCATCTCTGCCTGAGCTCACCACCACTACTAGTGCTAGCTAGCTTGATCGTGATGGCCCATTCTGCTGTTGCTCAGGTCGTGCTCGTCGCCGTGGTGGCCGCTATGCTCCTCGCAGCCACGGAGGCGGCCGTATCGTGCGGTCAGGTGAGCTCTGCCTTGAGCCCCTGCATCTCCTATGCACGCGGCAACGGCGCCAACCCGTCTGCGGCCTGCTGCAGCGGCGTTAGGAGTCTAGCCAGCTCAGCCCGGAGCACCGCTGACAAGCAAGCGGCGTGCAAGTGTATCAAGAGCGCTGCTGCTGGGCTCAACGCTGGCAAGGCCGCGGGCATCCCCACAAAGTGCGGCGTTAGCGTCCCCTACGCCATCAGCTCTTCGGTCGACTGCTCTAAGATTCGCTGATCGAGCACTTGCTGCCATCGCTGTTGCCATCGTCCCCTGCGCCATCGTTGCTGGATCTACGCTTAGTATGTTGAGGTCACACACACGCACACACACACATATATATGAATAAATGCTCTCATATTATCTCACTGCGTGAGAGAGAGAGGAGTACGTACGTCAAGCAGCTGTGCATGGCCGGCCCGAGTTTGGTTGTTCCTCCACTCCCCGAGTATGCTGTACTTTGTACCATGTGGAATTTTGATATATGGATTGTATACTCAGCTGATCAGCTCTACTTGCGTGCGCATGTTATTCAGCACTTTTGATATATGCAAGACTGGGAAAGCATTCCATTCCAGTTTGTTGCTCCAAGCAAGACGTAGGAATGAACCCCAACAATTTACTAGGAATGGGACTATGGCATTTCACTCATTTTGGTTCCTCAACAAAACACACCCTAAAATTGTTTGTTATAAATTTGTAATTTGTAATTATGGATCGAATCACAGTAATAAACCGGCGTTCTGACAGGGTATGACATAACAAAGCTGAGTGGACTACGGCACTAAATACTTGCACAAATAGAAAGTTAATATCTACTTTTCACTACAGGTGGACCATGTGAATAATAGAATTTTCTCCTTATTTACAGGAG